TCTCTATCTCATAGTAAAACTGAATAGATCCAGCTAATTACCTAGTTTTCTTCACCTTCTACCCACAGCTATGCATTGATGGCCTCTGAGGTGCTAGGCACTGCTGAACTTGCACTTACCATAAATCACCTTGCTCAAACCCACACCAAGCTTCTGAGAAAAGGATTATCGCTGAACCCATTTTACAGATGGGGAAATGAAGATTCACAGGAGTTAAATGCTCACCGGTGATCATGTAGCTAGTGAGCCGTGGAGCCACTGGGCGCTTGAGGAAATGCACTCTTTCTTCCCCAGCATCCCTTGCAAGCTGCTGGCATACGGATATTTATATGCTAAAACAGCATACTCTGCGGGGCCTCAGGCCGGCTTATGACACTGACAAAGCCGCCCCTTCGCCCAGCGTTCATAATCACTCACGTGCCTGTTAGCAGTTCCCTTCTCACTCTGCCACCCAGTCTGTTTTCAGAGCCCCTTCCCTCTGTCTGTCCGGCGGTGTGTCTGTAATCCTGATGGCCCTCCTCTTGGTTCTATCTCAAAGCCCATATTCTTCTCCACATGTTTACATTACAAGGCCTGGTGCAGACTTCCATGCTGAATTTTGCTTGGAGATGGTCTCCCTGCGTGGATTATAAATGACCCTGGTGTGTTTTCTGGCAGGAAGTCTTTATAAAAATCCACTTACTGAGAAATTCTCAGGGATAGTTTTGTTTCTAAATTCAAGTAGAGAAATAATTCTGTCACCTCCTTCCCCCTCCTTACAACTCATCTAAGCCAATTAGCAGTTGCTTTGGGCATCAAAACACAAACTCTTTAAGACTCACACATGGCTGATGGGATTGTAAAAAGGTACATATTTTTAGGTCAAAAATTTTTTTTGGCGAGGATGATAGTTTGGCAGTATGTTCTCAACCCTCTAAAAGTGTGTACTTTATGACCCAGAAATTCCAACTCAAAAAATTTCTCCTAATAAAGATGTGCTCAAGTGTTTAACTCTTGAGTATTTGCATTACAGCATCATTTATATTAGCAAACAGCTAAAGCAACATAGATGTCCAAAGCTAGAGAATTTAAAAATAAATTACACCACATTCATCCCCAGAAAATGATCGTACCTGTTAAAATGGTCGTTTTAGAAGAATATATCTTCTAGCGAAAAAGAGGCCACAGAACAACACAATTTCCTTTTTAGTTAAAATAAAAAAGGAACAAGGATGCCCGTGCGCAGAGATGATAGCCTCTGAGTAATAACATTGTGATTTTATCTTCTCCCCTTTTGCTTATCTGTAACTTAATTTTATTTACACTGACATATTCCTTCTGTAACAAATAATATTAGAAGATGTATTTAAAGCAAGTCAACAGAAGAATATTACGTTTCCCTGAATCCCTTCTCAGCCAAATTAGTCACTAATGCTGTTACCTAAGCAAGGAAAAGAGGAAACAGACTTGAGCTGGACTTTTCCAGAGAAAACATCACTCCGGTACCTCCTTTCCTCGTTACTGTTTGGACCTGGCTATGATTGAACTTGGATTTGCCTCTTGTGCCTTAGGACATGCACCTGGGAAGACAGTTGAGTTTGTCTGGCTCCCCGAGACTGGCCAAATTCAGTGTTTTAGTGTTTCTTCTGGTTTGTCCTTTTTTTTTCTGTTTTTGAGCACGGCCATTAGTCACGGCAAAGAGCAGGGGATGGGGGAGTGTTAATCCAGGGACATCTCACGTAAAGGACTGATTCTATTGTCTCTTCCTCAGCCGGGCCCCAGTGAGTTCCCCCAGAACACACACAGGCCTTTAACCAAGAAAGGTCTTACTTTTGTGGCTTGGAAGATTCTGGAAGTTTACAATTTATTTATCAACTTCTCTGCTAAACTTGTAAAAGCAATAGAAAGTTACTTATGGCCCCACTAGCATGCAAAACATCCTAATGTGGTAATAAACTTTCATCGTGCCTCTTGGGCCATTCACAGGGAGATATATTACTAATGGAGATTCAAAACTCATTAAAAACGGAAACCAAGGGATACATGCCAATTATTTCATCATCAATATCACCATCATCATTATTTCTTGGCTAATCCCAGGGTTCCCAAATGGTGTGCTAAGGTGCCCCAGGACACTGCTGTGAGTTCACAGAGGTGCTGTAAGATATTTTAATTTTTCGAGGGGAGCAGTGATCCATGGCATCTGCCAGACGCTGTGTGAATTACTAGCTCAAGGTAGTTCATGATTTCAACATTATGTCATGCTGCATTCCTTTCGATGACGTCGTATTTGTGCAAAGCTGGGTTTTCTGAAGTTGCTGTGATAAAAAGCAAGTACTGCACAGAAGTCAATGAGGAACAAAGGTGGTGGTGTCCAGTCTGAGTCTTAGGTTTGGGAAGCAGTGCGATCCCCAGTGGGCACTAAGTCGTTAGGATGTAAATACTTACTAAGTTGTTTAGACCTACTTACTTAATAAGAGGGACTTTAGATATTTCTTTCAGCATAGGAGTGCCCTGGAATAATTATTGAGACACCAAAGGCACCAGGAATTGAAAAAGTTCAGGACCCTCTAATCTAATAATGACCATATTTATTTTTCAAAAAGTTGGCTGTGATTCTTCAGAAGAAATGCAAAGAACTACTCACACACGTGATCATGAATGCTATAAGATTGGGGGCGGGGCAAGCTGGGTAGAGGGTGGGTATAGATAGGACTAATTACTCAGGAGGTGAAAACTGGCTACTGGTTAAGCTCATAAGAGTTGTGGTTTTTGTTTGTTTCATGTGTTTTGTGGGTGCTGTTTTTTGCTTGTTGGTTTTGCTTTGTTTAGGGTGTGTGTGTGTGTTTGAATACCTTTAGGTGGAGTATCTGTCCAATTTACAATGGCTCCTCACTCCCTGTTGTTGTACCCGTCTACTTCATTCTTTCAGGTTATCTACCCAGCCAAGAGAACATGTGAGACAAAGCCTCAAAGCCAACTAACTGATTAACAGGTTGATCTTAGCCCAGATTCCATGTTCATGTCCCCCTGCCCTGCCTCCCCCCACAACTGTGCCTCTCTTTCTTTAGTGGGAGAATGAGGACAATAACTCCAGCCCAGTGCGAGGGCCTTGTACTCAGGGATGAAAGGCATATCTCATCCCTCACAGAATGTATGGGGTAGTGAAAGCGACGGATAGGTGCCTCCTGATGGCAGTACAATGTGATGGGCCATAGGACTCAGTCATGTGTGGGGTCAAAAAACACTGGAAAGAAGGCTTACCAGCTCAAGACTTCAGTGAGAGAGGTGGCCAAGTATGGCCAGGGCTCACTAGGCTTGAGTGGAGCCTTGAGAGATGAGTAGAGAGCGAGCCAGGTGAAGACGAGGGTGGAGGGAGTGCCCGTGGGAAGTGCAAAGATTCGAAGTCGTGAAAGAGCAGGACTGGGGTTGAGAGCTTGGGACTGGGTGGCTGGGTGAAATCTTGAGTCTACAAGGCCAGGAGGGTAAGACTTTAGGCAAGAGAGCCCTGTGCTCAGTGGGAAGGGGAGACAGTGGCACCAGGCCAGAGGTGGAGGAAATGGGAGGCAGGGTTGGACAGAAATGTAGGAGGACAGAACGTGGTGGTGAAGAGAGGAGCAGAGGACAGTTCCGGGTTTCTGGTTTGTGACTGAGATGGCAATGGTGCCAGCACTGAGTCACCAGGGAAGCAGAGGATGACAGGGCACGAATGTCACTTGACTTTGTATGCCGGCTAATACATACAGTCGGCCCTTGAACACTATGGGTTTGAACTGCATGGATCCACTTATATGTGGATTTAAAAAATAAATATTTGCACTGTTTTGATCCACAGTCTGGAGATGAGGATGTGGAGGGCCGGCTATGTGCACTGATCCGCACCATTTTATTTAGGGGACTTGAACACCTGCAGAGTTTGGCATCTGCACGGGGTCCTGGAACCAGTCCCCTGCAGACACCAGGGGACAGCTAAGTGATGGGGAAATCAAAAGTTCTGCATGGATTTCTGACGGCATGGGGTGTGGTGTCGGAACCTTAAGCCCGTGTTGTTCAAGGGTCCACTGTGGTTGCCTTATCTTTAGTAGCTTCTAAGTCAGTTATGGTGAACCTTTTGAGCTCGGCGTGCCAGCATTTTGAAAAGCCCTAACTTAACTCTGGTGCCGTGTCACATATAGAAATTTTTTATATTTACAACCATAGTAAAACAAAGATTTATATTTTTGATATTTATTTTATATATTTAAATGCCATTTAACAAAGAAAAATCAACCAAAAAAATGAGTTCGTGTGTCACCTCTGACATGCGTGTCATAGGTTCGCCATCACTGTTCTAAGTCCTTTTGGGTAGAGAAAGTGTCTTACTCATTTTGAATCCCCTTCAATTCCTCCCTGATATAAAACCTGGCACACAACAACTACTCAATATAAATGAGTAAACTGAAGAAGAAAAATCCCCTTTTAAAGCCAAAAGAAGTGGTACACAATTAGAAGTTGTTAGATAATCTAATCACCAAGAAGGCCCAAAAAGTATATTCTGTATAACTAAGGTTCTAAGGCAGTGATGGCGAACCTTTTGAGCTCGGCGTGTCAGCATTTTGAAAAACCCTAACTTAACTCTGGTGCCAAGTCACATATAGAAATTTTTTGATATTTGCAACCATAGTGAAACAAAGATTTATATTTTTGATATTTACTTTATATATTTAATGCCATTTAACAAAGAAAAATCAAACAAAAAAATGAGTTCGCGTGTCACCTCTGACACGCATGTCATAGGTTCGCCATCACTGTTCTATGGGATGAGATAGTTTAATGTCAGAAAGAAAAAAATCCCAAAGCCTTCAGTAACAGAGCTTCTATCTGCTCAATGTCTTCGACTCTGGACCCACAGGCACCGAGGTGGGCTGGGGTGGGGTGAGGTGGACACTGAGCCTGGGGTGCAGACCCCTGCAAGTCCTCTGGTCCTTCTCTGACACACGATTGAGCCCTCTTCATGTGCCGCCCCTCTCTTTGACACCCGCATGGTCTTCAAAGCAGGCAACTATTCATCTGGTAGGGTATGAAAATTCAGGGTGAACATGTTGCATCCTCTTGAAATGTAAGCCTCTCTTAAAGACTTTGAAAAAAAACTTTTCATAGTTATATTGAAACCACCATGATTAGATTATGGAGTAAATGTAAAATTCATATGTATCTTTTAAATAGGAAATAAGATGCCAAACAAATTCTATTTCTTGGTGCAGGCCACGGTGGGCACTAAAAAAGAATCATGGTATGAGACGATGACAAGGCCACCTCTGTGCTAGCAGCTAAATAGGGGTCAACACAGTGTTTTCTGCTCAGGTTACAGGATCTCTCCTTGAGGAGACAACTCGAAAGTGGGCTCAGTACAGAGAGAAGTGCCTGAGAGACTTACTCAAACAACCTTCCGGTAAGCATACATATTAGTTATTTATGGCCGTGTAACAAATGGCCCCAAAGCTTAGTGTCTTTAAACAATAAGAATAATCATTTGCTATGCCTCAGACTGAGCACATTGGGCATGGCTTGGTTCTGGTCTACAATGTCTGGAGTGAGGTTGGAAGACTCAGAGGCTGGGGTGAAATCATCTCAAGTCTCGTTCACACCCATGTCTGCGGGTTGACGCCGGCTCTCAGCTGAGAGTTGAGCTGGGAATGTGGGCCAGAAAACTTCCCGGTGGCCTCTCCGCGTGGCCTGGGCTTCTGCACAGCACATTGGCTGGGTCCCAAGGGCACTCATGACCATAGGTCAGGTCTCATTTTATGACCCAACTTCAGAAGTCCCTTCTGCCACACTCAGTTGGTCAGACAGTTACAAAGGCTTACACAATTCCAGGGGAGGACCGCCCCCCCCCACACACACACACCTCTCACAGTAAAAGAGCATGTGAGATGGGACACATACACTTGTGGCGTCTTTGATCAAAGCCATCTGACACAGCACACTCACCACCCAATCACATAACTTGGGCAACTGTCAGAGATTAACCAGGGACTCTACTGAGTGTGTGCTGGGTGGGCTGGGGGTCCTCAGTCTCGGGTGATAACTGAGTCACAGCATTTCTTTTATCCAGGTCTGCACCAGGCTCAGAGAACTCTGGCAAATTTGCTAGTAGCTTGGTCAGTCCACGGCCTCTCCTGCCCACATACTGACTCTTTGGGTGTGACCAGATTTTTGTTGTAAGAAAAATAAAAAGAATAAGGAGCCTTGGCTCGCTGCCTCTGAGCGCCAGGGAGTGTGGCTGAAAGCTCCTTGTTTTCTGGGCTTCCTGCAGATCATGTCATTCAGGCTCTGGAGGTTGACAGACACTGGAAACTCTCTGTCCATTTTCCTGACCCAAAGCCAGTGCCGACCTGTAAGCCACCGGCTTCTCCCTGGACCGATTCCATCAGCCCAGGCAGGCAGCAGGCGAGGCTCGATCTGTTACAGGAAGCATCTCCCTTTGGGGAGCACCGCTTTCTGAGGTCAAGGTAGAGCAGGTGCTCTCCACCTGGAGCCACGCTCCGAGCCGCTCAGCACCGCCTCACACAGACGGGGCGCTGACCCCTGACAGCCGGGGCCGCGAGGTGCCTGCGCCAGCTCATACCTGGCAGATCTGCACTCGCAGGATCCCGCAGCCCTGGCTGTCCACCCTGAGATCTAGCCTAGTCAGGAGCAGATGGTGGGGGATGGTGCTTGGTTCTCAGAAACGAGGAGCCTGCAAAGTAGACATTTGGGGTCCATCCTGAAACCCCTTCAATTGATTCTGGGAGGCCGCTGAGTCTGAGGCTCCTGTTCATAGCCTCTCGTCACCAAGCACTGCGGTGTACATCATCCCTGGAGCCTGACATGGCCCACATATTTCATAGTAATCTCCAGGCTAGTATTCAAATGGAGAGGTATGACTGACAAAAGCCTTCAGTTCTGCAGATGCCCTTACATCTCCTGGTCCTTTGGCCCATGTCACAGTAAGGGTGTTCCAGGATCTAACTGGTGAAGGCTTGACAAGTATTTAGTAAGTTATGGAACATAAGGATCTCCCAGTGTCCTCCTGACCCGGAGTGTCTGTGAGAGTCAGTTCATGTAAAGTAAACCAAAGCCAGCGTGACGTACACATTGACGTCACCGATGAGACCACTGCCAGAGGTCAGGTTGGCTAGACAAAGCCACAGTGCTTGGCTGCATGAAGCATCCTGCCTGCATATTGTTCCTCATCCTTGACCTTTCTGGAGAGGGGGATGCCCATGTGGGCCCTGTGCAGGTGACCACAGCTTCTGAGGCCAGGAAGGCGGGCTCTCGTCTCCCAGTGCCTCTCTCTCCATCAGCGGCCTGAGGCTCCCGCACCACAGTTCATTCCCCCTTCTCTCCGCAGGCGTATTTTGTAACGGAACCTTTGATCGGTATGTATGCTGGCCGCATTCTTCTCCGGGAAACGTCTCCGTTCCCTGCCCTTCATACTTACCTGGGTGGAGTGAAGGTAACGTCTCATTTCACCAATTCCTGACCGTTTCCTTAAAGGCTGGTCCCTCCTGGCAGACCAGCCAGGGAGCAGAGTGAGAAAGGGCTCCAACCAACTGCTTTCCTCAAGTCTTCTTCTCCCATAAAAGGTTTCCTTCTAAGCTTTCCTGTCAGTGATACAGGTTCCTTCTTCTCTCTGCTTCTCCTATCTTCCTGCAGTTCTGTGCTGGATGTTCTGTTAATATACTAGTCCTCTTTTCTTTGAAATGATAGGTTCCAGGCCCGGCTTCCACAGAATTTGCTGTAGTGAGGGTCAGAATTGTCACTACCCTGCAGAGCAGAAAGAGGTGGGGGAGAAGATGGGATGCTCACAGCCATGCAACCTCGGCTTGTCAAACATCAAAACCACCCTGGCAATAGCATGGGGAGGAAGTGCTATTGAACGGGTGTTTTTAAGCCTCACGGGACTTGGATGGAGAGTTTAACCCTCAGCTTGCCCTGGTCCTGCTTAAAGGAAGTGACTATCATTTACGACTTCAGGATGCTATCCCGCCCCACCTGCCCTAGCCAGCAGCCGCTTGGCTATTTCACTGTAAGGAGGGAGGAACAATGACTGGTTAGAATTCTTTAGCCTTTGACCAAGACCATGGACAAATCGAAGAACAGGTGAAATCTTGAGGACTGTTCTCCAGAAACATAAGCAGTTACAAAATTCCAGGCAACACAGAGTGAGAATGGGTTTCTGAGAAGGCGAGATGGTGATATTTTGTATTGAATGTCAGCCCAGGAAATGGTCGCATCAGTTAAAATTTGGTTTCAACTTTTTGAGGCTTCTGGTGAAAAGAGAGAGGTTTTTGTTGTTGTTGTTGTTTGTTTGTTTTTAAAACTATATTTTATTGATTTTTTACATAGAGGAAGGGAGAGGGATAGAGAGTTAGAAACAGCGATGAGAGAGAAACATTGATCAGCTGCCTCCTGCACACCTCCTACTGGGGATGTGCCCGCAACCAAGGTACATGACCTTGATCAGAATCGAACCTGGGATCCTTCAGTCCGCAGGCCGATGCTCTCTCCACTGAGCCAACCTGGTTAGGGCAAGAGAGAGTTTTCAAGGAAGACGCATTTCTGGGTGGGAGTGCTCATGAAACTGTCCTCTGGGATCAGCCCAGGAGACGTGAGGATGTGAGGCTTCAGGGAAGGTGAAAGGAAAGACATTGGAGAGCTTGCTGGACCCGAGGGTTCAGCTCAGGGATGAGCGAAGAGCACAGGGAATCAGGAGCTCTAAGCTTAGACCCCCTTCCTCTGTTCTACACTTAGACATTTGACAAATTGCCAGAGTCCTCGGAGCTGTGGTTTTGTCTGTAATAGCCAACTCCTAAGTTCATCCTGAGGAATAAGTGAGAAGGCACGCACCGAGTCAGTCACACAGTAGGTGCTTCGTCAATGGGAGCTGAGGCTGAGACTGAGTCCAGCTCCTTGGACCCCTCCAGGTCTTTAAGGCCCCAATTGTGGGTGGTCTCCTCAAGGGCACGTGGAACAGACCACCACCAGCAGCTCCACCATCTGCCTGTTCCTTCCCGAAAGCTAGAAACAGAGGTCCATTCACTTGAAGAGAAAAAGTGGTCGCAAACTCACAAAGCAGCGGAGTTAAGGCTTAAAAAAATTAGTTGTGGGCTTCTAGAATGTGCTAAGGGGACTCTGACTCACAAAAGGTGAGAAGTTGCTTTTCCACTCAACCTTTTGTGCTTTAAATCTTAAGAATCCAAATGGGCTCTTGCAGTAAAAGGAAACTGTGGAGCCAGCGGAGGGGTTTAGAGAAGTAGGATGGACAAGCATTCCTGTGAGGTAAGATCAGAGTGGGAACATTGTACTATGAGAAGGGAGCCCGAGTGGTGATGGATATAGGCTGTAACAGCGGACACAGGCTGTAAGGGCATATAAGGCTGAGGATGAAGCAGGAAACTATATGTTATGCTAAGGTTTTAAACTTTCCTCTGTAGAGATTATGTGGAGCTGCCGAAGGTGTGAAGACATGAGAAGGACGTGAGATGTGTGGTGCGGGGAGATGATGTTGGTAGCCTGTGGCTGTTGGACTGAGGCATGGAGGGGGTCAGGGAGGCAAAGCTACTTCAGTGGCTCAGAAAAAGAGACAGTGAGGGTATAGATTCAGGCAAAGGCAGGAGGTTGGAGAGAACAGGAAAGAGTTTTAAAAATATCGGCGGTAGAACAGTCAAAACTTATCATCAAGGGAAGTGAGTATGGAGGGACGGAGAGGAGTGGGAAATAGAGGAGAGAAAAACATTCCCCATTCCACCTGGCCCCCCTAACATCCCTCATCTGGCTAGCAGCCAAGTCCCCTGGCCCCTCTCCCCCTCCACCCTCCACTGCTCATCTTTGCTCTCCCCTATTGCTCCCCCATCCTCACTGGTCCCAGCCTCAGGTCTGGCCCCCTTCCAACCACCTTCACAGCGTTTTCTAAAATGCATATTGGATTATGCTGGCTCATCACCAACACCACTACATGGTTCTCAAGACCTTCTACCACATGGCCCTGCTGACCTCTCTAGCATTTTCTCCCGTCTCCACTCCGGCCAAATAAACAACTCCCAGCCCCCTACACCTGCACAGCCAGTCCACCCAGTGCCTTTGCCCACACTTTTCTGTCTATAAGCCCAACATTAATCCTCAGCTTGAAACTTTCATCCTTCTAGAAAATTTTTCCAAATTTTCCCGCCTTTCTGAGTCCTCTTAGGTTCCTTAGCATTTACAGCGCTTGGTGACACTTGTATGTGCACATCTCCTCCACCTGCTCAACTTAGAGCTGTGTCTCCTTTGTCCGTGCATCCCCGGCACAGAGCAATTATGGCTGACGTGGAACACCATGTCAGGTGACATTATTGTCATTCACTCATTCAACAAATAGTTATTGAAGACCTACTGTGTGCTAGCCATTGTTTTCAGAGCTTCAGACATACTAGTGACCAAAACCAGAATACAATTCCTCTCCTTGTGGGGCTCATATTGCAGCAACAAGCAATAATCAAGAAACATCACACGCAAGTAAAGTATAGAGAGCATTTGAATATGATGTGTTTTAACTAAGACGGGAGGGAGGGTTGGAATGGGCTTTATGACAAGGTGATGTTTTAGCGAAAACTTAAAGGAGGCGAGGGGTTTAGCCTCTATTGAACACTCAGCAGGGAAGGAGTCTATGAGTGTAAGTTGCACACTATTTGGGCAGCATGTCTGATGAGCAAGGAGCAAGGAGACCTCTGTGGCTGGAGTGAAGGGGGAAGAGAAGCAATCGGAGGTTAGGCCAGGGAGCATTAGGGCCGGGCCCTGCAGGACTCTGTGGGAGACCTTGGCACTCTGACCTGTTTTCTTAGCGCCCTGGGATGACTTTGAGTGAGGCGTCCCATGATGTGACTGACATATGTTTAAGCTCATTCTGACGGCTGGCCTGGCTGTGGCCCATGATAGCGGAGGCGCTGACAAGTATTGGAAGGGGTCACAATAATCCAGTGAGAGACGAGGGTGGTTCCGGTGAGGGTGGTAGCAGGAGGTGAAAACAGTGGCCAGATTCTGGATATGTTTGAAGGTAGAGACATCATGGACCAGATGAAGGTATGACAGACAGGAAACAGGCTGGGGGCCAGCCTACTGAGATGATGGGTTTGCCATCAACGGAGGCAGGAAGACCTGTGGGTGGAGCAGGTTTGAGGAGAAGATGAAGAGTTTGGGTTAGGACTTCTTAGGAAATGTAGAGACTTCCTGTTTTTCTTTCCATCCCAAATAAACAGTAGGGATGCTAATGAGCCCCCCAAGGGGAAGTAAAAGCCCCATTTCCCTGGGATTTTCCACGGCTTTGCAGAGGAGCGGGCCTCCCCACGTGCTCAGGGAGCCGACCTTTCCCCCAGAGCTGTGTTTACTTTCAGAGAACCCGGGAAGGGCCTACAGACGCTGCCTGGCTCGGGGCACTTGGCAGACGCTGGCGAACCGCACTGTTTGGCAGGATGACTCCGAATGCTCTGAGAACCACAGTGTCCAAAAAAACGTGAGTCCCCTTGGCCCAGCGAGACACACGCCTGGGGCCCAACCACCCTGCCCTACCCCAGGGCCCTCCATGGCCCCTTGGCTTTGGGGCCACACAGAGAGCCTTCCCTAAGCGCGTCTGCTCTGGACTTACTTTTGCTGCTGTTCCCTCTCCCTGGAATATCTCTCCTCAGCTCTTTTGTGGCCTCTTCTTCTTTTTAAAGTATGTTTTTATTGATTTCAGAGAGGAAGGGAGAGGGAGAGAGAGAGATAGAAACGTCAACGATGACAGAATCACTGATCGGCTGCCTCCTGCACGCCCCACACTGGGGATCGAGCCTGCCATCCAGGCACATGCCAGGACTGGGAATGGAACCGTGACCTCCTGGTTCATGAGTCGATGCCCAACCACTGAGCCACACCAGCCGGGCGGCTTCTCCTTCTTATCATCCAGGTTTCAGGTCAATGTCTCCTTCAAAGCGAAGTCTTCTGTGGCCACCCCATCAAGAGTGGCCACCGCTCCCCATCACGCTCTGACCTGCTCCCGCGTTTGCCTCTCTGTTATGGAGCCTTCTCCTTAGAAAGTGGACTCAGTGGTAGCAGGCGGGGCATGGGCCTGAGGGGACACAGTGAGCCCCGGATTCTGAGCTGAGGGTCGAGGGCCAGACAGCCCTGTTTCCTGTCCAGACTCTGATTCCTAGCTCTTCATACCGAGACCCTTCACCTGTCTGTGACCCTGCTTCCCATCAACCCTGCCGGGGGTAGGATCTATTGCACGCGAGCGCTGTGAGGATGTAAATAGACACACAATTGTTAGTAGACATACAGTTCTCCAGAGAGGACCTGAGCCCTAGTCAGCACACCTGGGTAGGAGTGACCCCTCTGTCACCCGGGCCCAGCACCATGACTGAGCAGTGGATCACCATCGCTGCTTAGCAAATGTTCACCGGGCACACAGCCAATCCATGCCTCAGACTTCCACTCACATATCTTCTTTCCAGGACTCTAGGCTGCAGCCCCCCGCACGGCTCTTCTCGGCAAACACCTCCTGTTTGTACACATCCCACCCACCTTACTTCAAAGTGAAGAGCAAAAGGCAGCAGGGACAGAGGGAAAGGTGCTTGGGAATCAGAGGTCTGGGGCCACATCTGGGCTTCTTTCAGACAGTCAGACGTGACGTGCCTCCTGGGCACTAGCCACTGGGCTAAACGGCGAGTAAGACAGATACCGCCTTCCAGGAGCTTAGCGTCTCAGGCTGCACAGGGACAAGGTGGAGGTCCCTAGAGATGCCAACACAGCGAGTTAGGATTCGGCACAGTTGAAAAGGGGAGGGACATCACCGAGCAGGCTTCAGGATTGCCCTGGCAGGTCAGAGAGGGAGGCAGGGATGGGGCTAGACTGGAAGCAGCAGCGGGGGACCAGGCAGGAGCCATCGCAGGAACTCAGCCCAGGCAGAGAGAGGACGCAGTGGGGTGCAGAGGAGAAAGAGGCTGGATTTGCAGGTTCCTGCAGAGGGAAGCAGTATGATCGGAGGCTGGGGGTGTGGTGAGAAGGCAGAGTCAAGGGCAACAGGAAGCTCCTGTCGGCTCGGACCCTGAGGAGCTTTGAGGCAGGGGACAAGGAAGATTCCTTGCCCTTTCCTCTATCCTGGGTTCTAGATATTTCACAACCACTTCTGAATTCTCTGCCCTCACTGCAGACTGCACACCATGCCCTGCCCCTGCCCCGGGCGGTGGCTCACTGACTGTAGAGACTGATGGGCGTTGCGTGCCCTGGGCTCTCCCAAGTCTGTACCACCTTCCTCTCAGGCATAAGGAGCCTTCCCTTTGCTCCTCGTCCACAGGGAATTCTTTCTAAACCTCTTTTTCACTATATTACTTGATTTAAGTTAACAAAATTGGATGTTTCTATTACAGTGTTACCATGTGATAGGTCACACCCCTTAACGGTATTAAAATGATACCCGTGGCTGAATTGGTTTCAGCTTATCTCAAGCATCTGTCTGACTTTCACCAGGAACCAGACTCGTGCTAATTGCGTGGCTTGAATTAGACAAACTGTATGTCTTTCTTACCTCCCCTCCTGAACTAAGCTACTTGAGAACAATGACCAAATCGTAGTTCTATCTGAATGCCAGGCCTCAGGGAGGAATTCACCGGCAGGTCCGAGATGCCTGCTGCTTCCTCTGGACTTAGGTCTGCAGCGGCCCAAGTGAGTGGACAGGGACAAGAACACTTTTCAAGACAGGAAGTAAATATTTCTCTCTTTAGAAAAGTGAGGACAAGGGCATTGGCTCCTCCCCTTTGCAAACGGCCATATTTCGAAGAATTCAAATATTTGAAAGAACAAAAAACAAAACCAACTTCTGGCCATGTTTACCTGCCCTTCCTCTCAAGAACCCATTGCCTTTGTCTCCTCATTAGAACATTATTCAGGCTCTGCCTGGATCAGTGCGACAGGAATAGATATCCTTTGGATCTCACTTTGAAAGGCCTTTCTATTTTTAGGTTAACACAGCGTAGGTAGTGACGGCCAGGATCTCTCCATGGCAAAGGCACATTTCTCCTCTTGGATTTAGTCACTAATTGGCAGGAGCTACTTTGGTACCGTTGATTACCTTGTTGCTGACACATCTCCATCAGTGTCCTACCTTCATTGATGACGCGTGCTTGAGGGGATTCAAACTCTATCAGTCCTTCCATTTACTCAGTGGCAGTCTCCTGAAAAGAAGACCTCCTCCCCTTTCCCTCCTTTTTTGAATATCACTATGGACTTAGAGATTGTTTTATTCACTTATACCCATTCTTTTTTGTAAATCCTCACCCAAGGATATGCTTTACTGATTTTTAGAAAGAGGGGAGGGGGGAGAGAGAGAGAGAGAGAGAGAGAGGAGAAAGAAACATTGATTTATGAGAGGAACATTGTCTTCCATACATGCCACCACCAGTGATTCAACTCACAGCCTAGGTATGTGCTCTGACCAGAAATTGAACCAGCACCCTTTTGGTGCACAGGACGATGCTCTAACTACCCAAACCACACTGGCCAGGGCTATCTAGACTTACTCTTTTTTATGATAAACTAGAGGCTCAGTGCACAAAAATTCATGCACTCGGTGCGGGGGGGTGGGGGGGTGTTCCTCAGTGTGCATCATAGCAACCAGTCATTCCCGGTTTTTCCACATTTAGGGCCAATATACATATTATCCTTTTATTATATAGGATGTTTTCTAGATTTAGCTGGTGAAATCCTGTCAAACTGGCTCTCAAGTCCTTTTGTTATAATCCTATTAGTCTTTGAGCACTTCCTTATTTTCTGGCAGAAGAAGGTGTTTCAGGCCCATCTTGCACAAATCAGCTGTTTCTTCAGAATCCTGGGCCCTTTAAGTAGAAGAATGGTATTTGAAACCAAGATCTCAGTGTTCGATGTGCTCATTGCCACTACTACGAGGTCCTAGAAACTTTAGTGTTCAGACTTCGAAAAAATCATTAAAAAAAAAATCAAGGCTTCATATTGATAATTCTAATTCAAATCTAACATTTAAGATTTTACCTTATTACTTTGTATTCTATATCTTTTTTTCTTTCAGTGAAAATTTTCTTTCTAATAGCATTACCATAATTACTTATTTACCTTATCATGCAATATACATAACATAGTCTCAACCAGCCCAGCTGGTGTGGCTCAGTGGTTGAGCATCAACTCATGAATCAAGAGGTCCTGGGTTCAATTCTTGGTCAGGGCACATGCCTGGGTTGCAGGCTTGATTCCTGATAGCAGATGTGCAGGAGGCAGCTGATTGATGTCTCTCTCATCATTGATGTTTCTATCGCTCTGTCCCTCTCCCTTCTCTCAAAAAAAAGAACCAATAAAAACATATTTATAATAGTCTCAACCTTAATATTGAAATTTCCACTAAAAATATAAACCTATTTGGTAAAGTTTCAGATTTCTTTGAAGTGCTTTATATCCTTAGACTATAACTCATGGTTAGAGTACTATGTTCATAATATTTGAAATAATTAAATTCTCTATGTGGTCCTGTTACTAATTGGATATACAGTTTTATTCATTTGTGTCTATTAGTAATAGTGGTGTGCCTTTTTCATTTTTCTGTCTCTATTTTTTAAAATAAATAAAGTATTGGCAATGTTTAAAAGCCAAAACTATAGAAAAAAGTATATTCAGAGAAATCTTACTTCCATCACTGCCTCTAGCCCTGTTTCTACCTATTCCCTATAGGTAACCATTTTTATTACTTTCTAGTTTATCCTTTCTCTCTTTTCTTTTTCTTTAGCTCTTTTAAAATCAAATTGTAATATATATTTTACATTTCGTTGTGCAAAACTAAGCAAATATATTAATATGTTATTTCCCCATTGTTCTTGCACAAAATCCTATTCTGCATCTTTCTTTTCTCCTTTACAACGTGTCCTAGAAATTACATCAATTTCCAGAAATGGTTCTCTTCCTTTTTTAATTTCACAGCTGCGTAGTACTCCACTCTATATGTTTACTGTAGTCTATTCAGTCACTCTCCCATGGCCATTTGAATTATTTCCATTTTTTTTTTGTTACTAATGATGCCACCTTGAGTAACCTCGTGTATGTATGTCAGTTCATACCTATGGGGTCTATCTTTTGGAAGGTTCCTAGAAATGGGATTGCTGGATTAAAGGTAGAAGCACATATACTTTTGTCAGATATTGCCAATCCCCCCCCCGCCCCCCACCCTTATAGGGGTTGTACTGTTTTGCCCTTCCCTCAGTAATATTTGAGAAGGCCAATTTCCCTGGTGGGTGCATACTACACACTGTTTACGAAGGATTTTATAATGATACTTAAGTGACTTCAGATTCTCCGGTTGGTTCTGAGAGTGAGCTGGAGACTATCTGGGTGTTCTGAGACCTCCAGAGAGGTAGCCAGGTTTGGTAGAGCCCTGAATCTAGAGGAGAGTTAAGGAACATTTTCTAACGGGGTACAGTTAAAACCAACTGCCCCAGCTGGTGCCCATCTCTATCCCCTTGTTCTAACCCAGCGGTTCTCAAACTGTGGGTCGCGACCCCTTTGGCGGTCGAATGACCCTTTCACAGGGGTCGCCTAAGACCATCCTGCATATCAGATATTTACATTACGATTCATAACAGTAGCAACATTACAGTTATGAAGTAGCAACGAAAATAATTTTATGGTTGGGTCACAACATGAGGAACTGTATTTAAAGGGCCAGAAGGTTGAGAACCACTGCGTCTAACCAATTCAACACACAGCTTTTTAGCTAGTTACCACTAGTATATGCCTTTTTTTTTTCTTTTTGCTGGTTTTCTGGTTCTTGGAGCCCACTTTGTCTGCTGAAAAGCAGGCCAGATGTGCTGGGGAATTCATGCCTCTGCTAACCCCAGAGCAGCCTTCAGAGGGACTGCTAATCTGGAATTTGGAATTTAGCTGAGGGAAACTGATTTTAGATTTCTGACCCCAGCCTGCAAGACAATAAATCATATTATTTTAAGTCACCAAATTTGTGGTAATTTGTTACAGCAGCCACAGGAAATTAATATAAAAGGGCATCTTTAAAAAATTACAGCTGACATCATACTAATTGGTGAAAAAAATAAATGCTTTCCCCTAAGATCTTTAACAAGATAATAAATTCACTCTTTCCACTTTTGTTCAACTGGAGATCGTAGCCAGAGCAATAATACAAGAAAGAGAAATACATAGAAATGAAGAGTTTGGAAAAGAACAAGTAAAAATGTTATTCACAGAGAACATGATCATCTATAGAAAATAGCAAGGAATCTACACAAAGTCCTACTGTTATTAATAAGTGAGCTTAGCAAGGTTGCAGACTACTGATCAATATTTTTAAAAAAAGTTGTATTTTTATATACTAACCATAAGCAATTAAAATTAAGAGAACGATATCATTTATAGCAGCATGAAAAATATGAAACACATGGATGAATTTGACAAAAGATAAGCAGGACCTATATACTGAAAGCTACAAAACTCTGTGGAAAGGAATTTAAACAAAATCTAACTAAAGGGAGCGGCATACTATGTCCATGGACTCTAAATTGATCCATAGTTTCAATGTAATCCAATTCAAAATCCCAGCAGGATTTTTGTAGAAAATAGCAAGCCGATTCTAAAATTTATATGGAAATGCAAAGATCTAGAATGGCTAAAACAAACTTGAGAAAGAACAAAAGTGGAAGACTAACACTAATTGATTTCAAGACTTGCTATAAAACTATAGTGTTCAAGCCAGTGCAGCATTGGCATGAAGATAAATATACAGAATATTGAAATAGAACATAGAGTCCAGAAACAGACCCACACATATAAAGGAATTTGATTTTTTGCAGAGTGCCAAGGCAATTCAAAGGGGAAAGAATAATCTTAGCAGCATATGGTGCCAGAGCAATTGAATATAAAAAACCAACTTCTATCCTTACCCCACACCATGAATGCAAATGAAGTAGAAATAGATCACAGACCTAAATGTAAGAGCTTAATCTATTAAACTTCTAGGGGAAAAAATAACTGAAAAATCTTAAGGCCCTTGGTACAGGTTTTAAAAATAGGATAGGAAAATAAAAAGTTGATAAATTGGACTTTATATAAAAAAAAACTTCTGCTCTTCTACAGACACTGTTAAAAAAATAAAAAGGCAAGCTACAGAATGAGAGAAAATACTTGCAGAACACAATCTGACAAGAGATTTATACCTAGACTATATAAAGAACACTTACAATGAGCAATTAAGACAAATAATTCAATTCAAAAGATGGAACAGATACTTTACCAAGTAGGATATACAGATGGAAAATAAGCATGGAAATTATTCTCAACATCATCAATCATTCGAGAAGTTCAAATTAAAATCACAATAAGACACGGCTACACCCCCATCGGAATGGCTAAGATTTAAAAGACCGGTGATATGAAGTGTTAATAGACTCTAGAGCAGCTGGAACTCTCATACATCGCTGGTGGGAATGTAAGTTGATACGACTCCATTAGGAAACAGCTCGGCAGTTTTGTAAGAAGTTAAAGCATACACCATCCTACTCCACCGTTCTATGTCTAGATACTTATCTGAGAGAAATGAAAATCTATGTCCATATAAAAACTTGTACAGAAATTTTATAGCAACTTTATTTGTAAAAGCCAAATTCTTAAAACTATCCAAATGTCCATCAATAGGTGATTGGACCAATAAATAGTGGTGCATTCCCAATGGAATGCCACTCAGCAATAAAAAAGGAATGGACTCTGACAGGGGTGAATCTCAAAATATTATTCTGAGGGAAATAAGCCGTGCAAAAAAGAGTACGTATCATAAAATTCCTTTTTTTTATAGAATTTTAGAAAATGTAAACTAACCTTTAATGACAGAAAACAGACCAGTGCTTGCCGGGACGTGGATGGCAGGAACAGTGAGAGGAGAGGTATCATAAAGGGTCACAGAACCTTCTGGGAGGTGATGGGAATGTTCATCGTCTTGAATGTAATAATAACATCACAGATATATTCATGTCAAATTCATCAGGTTTAGACTTTAAACATGTGCAGGTTACCGTGCATCAAGTTTACTTTAATAAAAGGGACAAAAGAATTATGCACAGAAGTGTAAGACATAATTTAGCAAATAATAAGTATTTACTGTGGGCTTTTAAAAAATTTACTTAGAAACACCGTCAAGATTTTGCTTGTAAATACATTTCGTAGAAGAACCCACAGCATCTTGATGGTGCTATGTTTGACAGGCTGAATGAAAGGGTGAGATTCCAATGGAAAATCTCACTTAATAAAACAAAACAGCATTTCCAGTAAATTATCCTCTTTTCACAATCAGGCTACCCTGGGACTCAGAGAAAATATTCCAGTGATTTGTAAGGTCTTTTTCTAAGAGGTCATCTATGAAAAGTTATTTTAGGAAGGAGACATCCCGTTGGAAACCTGGTTCCATCAGAGAGAGAGAGAGAGAGAGAGAGAGAGAGAGAGAGAGGAACCATTATACTCTAGGGACAACACACCAGGGGCAAAGATCCTGCCTTCATTCCCAAGGTACCCTCTTGTCCTGGCACAGTTCTTCTATGATACCGTGAATCTTGGTGCACCAATGCTGGGCTGTGGGACCAGCCGTGAAGGAGAGCCCCAAGGTGGGCTCTTTACTCATCAAGGCGCCTTGGCCTCTGAGTTCTTTACTTGGGTGTCAACAAGGTGGGGTGCATGCCTAGAACCTTGGTGGTCTGGGCATGGAGCTCGGGGTGGAGACCATAGCCATCTAGCTTGGTGATCATGGCTGCCCTTCCTCTGTGCTCAGGTGGAACACCACGCCTTGCTGTCGACCTTGCAGCTGTTGTACACCGTGGGCTATTCCCTCTCCACTGTCGCCCTCCTCCTGGCTCTCACTCTCCTCCTGTTCCTTCGGTGAGTGGAATTCTGCGGGCGTGTGTTCAGGCGTGTGCCCTGGCGCCTGCGCACTGGCTACCTCTAGAATGCAGTAGAAGCTTGGGCAGGGTGCGGGCTCGGCTCACCAGAGCTGGAAAGGGGTCTTAGGGAGTTCCTAGTCCACGCATCCCTTTTCCAGAGGAAGGGGGATGAATATCAGAGGTCCACTGAGAGCCATGGAGTCACCCCAGGCACCAAGCCCAGTGAGAGCTGGAATCTGGGGTCCTAACTCAGCTTTTGCTTCCTTTGGGTTGGATAACCTATGTGCTGGCCCTGCTCCCAAGTCCTAATCACACCCATTGCTACCACAGCCCGTTCTTACCACAGCGCTGCCAGAGGCATTATTTTGACAGCAGAGATTAAGAAAGGTCCCCAAAGCAGATGAATGAGGGGTAGAGATGGGATTTCAGGTTCCAATTAGCTGTGTTTCCTGGTGCACGGGCGCTGTCCTAAGCATGTTACATGCGCTGAGTCATTTAAATCTCATCCTGATCCGAATCAAGCTGAGTTCTGATTCTAGGGGATTAGCGCTGTTATTACCCCATTTTGTAAGTGAGTTACTGAACTATGGAGAGATCGAGGAACTGGCCCAAGATCGCACAGCTGGTGAGCGATGGCGCCAGGACCACAACCAGGCAGTCCAGCGCCTCAGCGTTTTCACTCCCTAATACTCTCTGTCAGAACCCAAGCCTCCATGCATTTTATTAAATCACGTTTTTAAAAATTCCCCGAGTGAGACATTTATAGAGCCACAGGGGAGCCCTCTCAGGCTCTCTCTGTTCAGCCCTTTCGGGAACATCACTGAGCACATAACAGGGCAGAATGAGAGTTTGGCACGGAGGCATGGGGACCATGGAGACCTGGATGCCAGCTCCAGAGCAGCTCCCCTCCTGGGCTCTCCATGCCCAGGTCTGGCCCTCCCTGACCCTTAACCTCAGGGTGGTCCCTGGCTCCTACAGCAGGGTAATGACCTTCTGCTCCAGGGAGAGCAGTTCCTGAACAACAGGAGAATCGCACAGCCTGGGCCTGCTGCTGCGGGCGACCGCCTCCACTCACCTCCCCAAAGTCTCAGACCGGAGCCAGGAGAAAGGCGCTGCCGGCGCCTCAGGGAGTAACTTCAGCAGAGACAGGGTCAACCGAGCGTCCGAGCGTCCGTTTGCCTTGGGCACTGGGTAGAGTAAGGCCCCGTCCCTGCCCTGGAGTAGTCCCCAGTCTAGTTAGGGAGAAGGATGCATACATGCTGAAGGACCTGCTTCAAATCTGCCTTCAAAATTAGAAAAGACGAATAGCTCTAAAGCAAGGCATGCGCCGCCCAGGGGCCCAGTCCCGGCTGTGAGAGCCGAGTGATGCAGCTTTCATCAGCCAGGGCAAGGCGAGCTGCGGGAGGCTCCAGGTGGGCGAGGAGGCGGCAAGGAGAGCTGACCATTTCTGGGCGCTTGTTCTGTGCCTAAGTGAGTGCCTGTGTGAGCACTTCTCACCCAGAAACTGCCTGAACCCTCCCGCAGCCCTGGGAGGCAAGCACTCTTGTTCTTACAGGCCGCAGAGCCTAAGAGAGCCGTATGTTATAGCCTCAGAGTTTCCGGGTTCAAATCTCAGCTGTACCACTTACTGCTCTGGGACTTTGGACAAGTGACTTAACCTTCCTGCCCTGATCTCAGGGCAATAATGGTACCTACTCCTTCAGAGGTTGGAAGGAGCAAGGGTACCCACAAGCACTCACTGTAAATGGCTTGGGACGTAGCGGCATATGTGGGCCATGGTATAAAGGGTTACTATCATTATCCTCGCATCGCAGTTGAGGAAAATGAGTCGCAGAGCAGTAAGGTCACATCTCCCAGCCAGCCCGCTCTGGAGCCTCCACGGAGCCTCTGCCCGGTAGTGGATATGCAGTGTTTCAGGCACAACCCATTGGCCGGCACCGCCTTTCCTAAGAGAAGGAACGCGGTTTCCTCCCGCACAGAAAACTCCACTGCACCCGCAACTACATCCACATGAACCTGTTTGCTTCCTTCGTCCTGAAAGCCCTGGCCGTGCTGGGGAAGGACATCGTCTTCCACAACTCTTACTCCAGGAGGCCCGACACCGAGAGGGAGTGGGTGTCCTACATGTCCGAGGTATGTCCTCCACCGGGTGGGTCAGAGGGCAGGGAGGGGGGCTGGAGAGGGAGGAGGGAGATAAAGGGGGCCACACAGGCATCACCTCTGAGAGTGGGGCAGGGTAAAGAGAGTCAGCAGCAGAAACTTCACTGTGGGGCTGCTGAACAACCCTGGGGTGGGAAATGTCTTCATCTGTACATACAAGAAGAATGAAACCAGATCCATCTTTTTTATGATTACTATTTTGTTGTTGTTATTGTTGTTGTTGGTAATCCTCACCCAAGGATATTTTCCATTGATTTTTAGAGAGAGTGGAAGGGAGGAGAGACAGAAATATCAATGTGAGAGAGACGCATTGATAGGTTGCCTCCTACATGCACTCCCATCAGGGCTGGGGAACCTGCAACCAAAATACACATGGCCTTGACCGGAATCGAACCCGGGACTTTTCAGTTGTGGGCCAACGCTCTATTCGCTGAGTCAAACAGGCGAGGGCTATTTCTATTATTTTTATTAAAGCAGCAAAGCTTTTCCATATTGAA